CAATCCCCTCGACGCCCACCGCGCGCACGGCCATGCGACCGATGCTGAGAACATCCGCGGTGCCGACCGCGTAGAAGCCAGGGCTCATCGGGCAGCCCTGGTCGAGGCCACGGATCTGGTCGACCAGCTGGGCAGGTTGGGACCCACCCCCCGCCACGTGGCGCGTGCGAGCAGGGAGCCAGGCCTCCGCCAGCGGCGCCAGAGCGGGCACCTTGGAGCGCACGGCCTCCTTCATGAGGTCGCGGGGGATGTTGCTGAACGCATCCCCGAGGTCCACCGCCACCACCCACTTGCCTGGACTCGATGTGGCCATCGTGCAGAGGCGTCGGTGGAGGGCACCACACCCGTCCTTAGCCAAGCCAAACTGTTGGTCCCCCACCGCCGCCCGCATGCCCTTGTGGTGGACCTTGGCAGCGCTGCGGCCCACCATACGGCGGGTGACATTCCCGCAGCCCAGGACTCGCACGTCCCCAGGGGTTGCCTTGGGGATGCCTGCGAGGCGCGCCGCCGTCAGGGTGGCTAGAGCTTCGGGTGGAAGGTCGCCGATGGCCAGGCGCGCCAGCGTGTTGGCCACCGCCTCCGCTCCGTCTTCGTCGTGCTTGAGCGGGGCCCAGTGCTCGCAGCGCCCCCCTCCAGGTCCCGCCCCGCCGCGGCGGGGGAAGCGGCCGAACTGACGCTTGAGGTGGTTGGACACACGGTGGCGGAGCTCTGCCGCGCCGTTGAGCTCGTGAGGGGGCGTGGCTGGCGGCGTCGCCACGTCGGCCCCCGCCGCTGCGGGCCCCCCCCTGGCCCATGCGGGGCGGCCCCAGTGCCGGGGGATGGCCCCATTCGCCTGGGCGAGGCGCCGCAGGCTGCTGGGTGGTGCTCAACTTCCTCACCACCGCCGCTGCACCCGCCATGTCACCCTGGGGCCACACTGCCGCTGCCGCCCGAAACATTTCGCCAGCTCGTGCGAGCTCGGTGACACGGCGAACGCGGGCCGCGACGTGGTCTTCGCGGCCCTTCGTGGTGACCGAGGTGCGCGTCTGGTCCTCCATGGAGAGCCAGGCGACATCCCATTGGCCGTCCTGGATCCACTGCAAACGCTCCTGGAGACGCCCTCGTCGCGTCGTCGGGGTCGGGGTCGCGCTCTCGCTGAACAGCAGCCCATCCAACGATAAGAACACCTTCCACAGCCGCGTCAGCGTGCGCGACGCCCGGTCGTCGCCGCCCTGGCGGGCCTGCTCGATCGCCAGGCACAGCCGCACCTTCACGTGGCTAACGGCGGCAGCCATGCTGTCGGGGATCACGGCCGCGGTGGGCGCGCCCTGTAGCAGGACGCGGTCCCACCCGATGGCGCCCCACCAATCCAGATTGACAAACCCAATCTCGCGGTACGCATCCTCGTCAGCCACCTGATCGTCCAGGTAGTCGTCGTAGACGCCCGCTTCGAGCCCCCCGTCGTCGTCCGCGTCCGCAGGGGCGCCAAGGGGCGGCTGCAAGATGTCCGCGGTGGACGGTGCCGCTGCCTCGGCTGCCACAGGGGGGGCCCCTCGTGAGCCTGGGCCATACGCCCCTGGCGCGGCGGCGGCAGGGAGCCTCGGGGCGACCCCAGCGCTCCCTGCCGCGCCATCTCCCTGGAAGGGAGGAGTGGGCACCTGGCCTTCGACCGTCTCCAGCAGGGGCAAGATGAGGCCACCTCGGGCCTCCAGGGCTGCTGCGAGGCGTTCCCTGTCACCCTCGGGGAGCTGCGTGTAGCCCTCCATCGCCGTCGCTGGTGGCAGGGGGCCATCCACGCAGGCCATGTGGAACCACTTCTTGCCCGCGTGCGCCTGGGAGCCCACGGGGCGCGTCACGGCGCCTGCCACGCGCCATTCGCCCGCTTCGAAGCCTCCCATGCAGCGGCTGCAATGGGCTTGCTTGCCGCGGGTTGCCTGGGCGCTGACGCACCAGCGAGTGATCCGTCCTCCCGTCATGCGACGCCGCCGCTGCGCCGGCTGGCCTTCGCTGTCCCGCATGTGGACGTCGATGCTGCCGTCCACTGGGATCTCTGAAGCATTTGCGTCGGCCGATGCGCGTGCGGCAGCGGAGGCGCACGGGGCGGCCCCGGCACCTCCGCTGCCCACTGCGGCTGCCAGCGCACCGCCTTCACCTCGGGCCGCCGCGACGTTACTCCCAGCCACTCGAGCCCCTGCACCTGCGTCCGCGGCGCCGCCAGCGGCCGCCGCCATCCCAGGACGTCCCTTCAGGGCAAGGAAGAGTGTGCGTAACGGTAAGGGCGCGAGAAAAGGAAGGGTGGCTGCCACCCGCGGTTTGAGGGCAGCAGTAGCCCCCCCGCCCACAGGCTCCCCAGAGCCTTGGGGGGACGACTACTACTACTACTACTACTACTACTACTACTACTACTACTACTACTACTACTACTACTACTACTACTACTACTACTACTACTACTACTACTACTACTACTACTACTACTACTACTACTACTACTACTACTACTACTACTACTACTACTACTACTACTACTACTACTACTACTACTACTACTACTACTACTACTACTACTACTACTACTACTACTACTACTACTACTACTAC